TCACATTTCAATTATTATACATTATATATGTATATAGATTGTTGCTATTTTGAAATAAGTTCTCAAACATATTTTTTCCTAAAACATAAAACAGTAAATAAAGAAGTAAAGCAAACAATTATCTCTTCTAGTTATGACCTTTGTACTCAGTTGCTGCTTTATGTAGGTTTCTAAGCCTTTAAAAATTTGGCACGTGGAGGATATGAAACAAAATATTTTTTTTAGGTTTTATATATATATACAGTTGAATAACAAAAAAAATCATAAATTACTACATCAATTCCATAGAATTCCATTATAATTTATAAAGCTTAATAACTAAGATGTATTTTAGTCAAAAAAAAAAATGAAATTTTGAGCAGACTAAAGACACATCCTATCTCGTTGAAATAGATAGCATCCTAAGAATTTAAAATGGCTAAGAAAGCCACTATGGGGACATTCTGAGCTTCTGATTGGTTATTCATGTCATATATAGAAGTAAGTGTATATATGGGATTGTTTCCAAAAATGGAAAGAGGTGGGTGGGGTGCCACTCTGTTTAATTTGTTACATGAACAATATCTTAGCAAATTGAAAAAATAAATGGCTCTTATTTTATATTCTAGCTTGTCAATATTGGTAATTTGAGTGTCTAATTTGTTCGAAACTATAGACTTAGTATTTTGACTTCACAAACATCTAATTTGAACCAGTAATGCATTCAACATACCACGTGACACACAGAAATAAATGTTTATCTGTATTTTTTTAATATTTGCCTTTAAATTAAGAAATTGAGTAATATATAGTTTTAAAATTTGAATTATAATCTACACTTTGATACCAAACTTATTGACATAAATTCATGAAATAGTTGTTCAATAAAATTTTGAATGTGAGTCAACAAATGAGATGACATAGCCTTTCACCTGTGACCCATCTCAAAAGGGTTCTGTGGAAGTCATTGAGTTGCATTCAAAATATAATTAAACAGCTCTACTATCAGTGTATGTCAATGAAATTAATATTATAATGTATGTTATTATTCTGAGTTTTATGTTATCTAAATTTTAAATCAATTGTATGAAAAGAAATCTTTAAAAAACAGCAATTTAAACTTCAGCTTTGTTATCACGTAACCCCCAAGCTGTGAAAAATCTCAACTTTCACACTATTGGTTTTGAATAAGGTAACCCCAGTCTGGTAGATTTAAGTCTAGATGGTAAGTATGTTTACTTGCCCTATTGACATGTATGTTCTAAAGTTCTTTAACTAGAAATAAATATTTTCATCTCTTGACAGGTGCCATATCCACCTTCTATACTATTCCTTGAGTTTTACAAATTATATGTTATTACTTGACATATGTGTATATAGTCATTAAAAAGAGTTCATTCTGCATTATAATCCAACAATAATTATTTTGAAATTGGCGCTCAGTTGTCGTCATCAGATAGAAGTAACTACCAGTAGTATTATTATTGGCTACTTTGTCCATGATAGCACTTACGGTTGGTTCTTACCTAAATATGTTATAGTTATAGAGACAGTTAAATTGCATTTAGGTTTTACTTTGATATGTTAGCTAATTATGTATTATTTATGTTTCAAAATGCATAATTGAAAGGTTTAAACATTTTTCAATTTATCGCAAACATTGCCCAAGTTCTCAAGGCTTACGACCTTGCAAGAGTGTATAATAATTTTGTTGAAGGCTTGCGCATCTCTCTAAAAGATACAGTAATGCCCCAAGGGTGTTGTTGACTTGTGTCAAGATGAATAGCAAATGCTAAAGGACAGGAAAGGAAAATATAACATTAAAAATTAAGTATATGTGAAAAGGAAAAGACCTGAAATTACAAATATTACCAGAAGAAGATCTTTTAAGATATTCTATGACAAATTAAGGCATGTACATTTTTTCTATTTCTTAATTTTAAACATTTCATTGCATTGTATGTTGATGATAATATCTACAATTAGTGATGTGGTAGAGAAAATGAAAAATAAAATATAAACATTTGCCTTAAACAACTTTTGATATTCATTTGGGAGGTTATAGAGGTTATGCAAATAAAACTTGAAAACTGCAAAATGAAGAAAAGCATTTTTATACTTAAAACTAAACTCTAAATGCAAATAAGTACAATGAATATATAAAATATATTTAGTAGAAACCCTTAATTAAAATAATGTCATTCATTGTATACATGATACTTATAATCTTTAACAAAATCTTACCAGTTTTGTGAAGACACGATAAGAAATCTCCGAGTTACAGTATGTATCTCGGAGAACAAGTGAATTTCCCATACAACCTCCAGCAAAATTGCAGGTGCCCATACTGAAAGGTATATACTAGTTACTTCATTGAATGCACTTAGTGTACATGATCATGTCTCACTTATAGAGACAAAACATTGTACGTAGAAAATACATTATCATTTTTTCATCTTCAGAATATGTTCAAACCATAGTATATGGCCCAGTGAATTCCATATTCTTATAAAATATTGCTGCAGGAAAACTAATACATATAATAAGGTATCCACATTATGAACACTTGTTATTAATAGATAATTTTAGTGATACAAACCTAACTTCTTGTTTATAGGGGTCAATGTCTGATGTAATCTACAATACCATTTCTAACTCTCATGAACCTCTTCTCTTCCGTTTCAAGAAGCACAAAAGAAAGAAGGTTTGTATTTAAGATTTAGTACATTTAGCCTGTTTACAACTGTATGAAATTTCTATCTAGTTTTGTGTCTTTAAGAATAGTAATGTAGTTTCCACTTAACTTAAACTATGTAAATAAAATAAATATGAGCAACCATTGTTCATCATTATTATATTAATATTAAATTTTATGATTTGTGATGTTTATGTGATTTAGTTTATCTACTGATAACTATAACATGGTGCCTAACACTTTCTTCATATTTCGTATATTTTTCAGCCAATTTCTGTATATTTTGTATTTTCCTAAATTGTTGCAAAAGTCATAACTTTTTTTTAAATAACTTGGTAAATTTCAAGGGTTAAAGTGAAACAAAATGAAATGGATGGCTAAAACAGTTGTTTTAGTTTGTTCTTTACTTGATATATATAATTTCCTTCAGTTTGTATCTTGTCTAAAGTGAATATAAAAGTAAAAATAGAATAAGATAACTTCAAGGTTAAAACTAGTTTACATTCACTCGATCTCCACAAAACAAGTGGTTTGTGACTTATTATACAGAAGGACAGGTTTAGTGATTTGTTGCAGGTTCATTCTTCTCCTTCACATTACATAGAATAGATGTGTTACAATTTTTTTGTCTGAGCTCAAAATGATAAGATTTGCATTTGCTAATGAAACTTTGATTTTTGTTTTTTTTGGCTTTAGTTTCAAAAGCTTTACTTTTTTATCATGAATTCTTAAAAGCTGGTGACTTATATTAGTCCTGTTTGAGTGACTATATAACACACACTGGCCTAATTTCTTCTATGGCTTCTGGAAGCTCATTTACATTGCAGCCATTGTTAAATGTGTTTTGGATTACCACATGCTTTCTGGGCCTCCTACTCCTGTTCTGTTGGCCTATGTTCTTTCTCTTCAGTAAGGATTGATCTACTGAACTACGAATTTAACCAATTTCTTTGGATAGTACCTTACCATTAGAAGAATGTTCCTGACCTTCCAATCTCTTTGGATTTCATTCTCAGGTGTGTTCCTTTCTTTATCTTTAGCCTGCATCCTTTTGTATTTCTTTTTTTTATTTATTCTATTATCCCAATTTTTGGGGTTTACCTTGTCCTTCCTTCTTGCTTGTTATTCAGGTTTATTTTGTCTACTTTCTCTAATATTTCACCTCTCACACCCAAAGGCCTCATCTTCTCATGTTCATTCATGACTCTTTTTGTCCTGACTTGTAGATATTATTCCTTTTCTTTCTTTATTTCCTGTCTTTGGCATCTATTTAACCTGCTTGGGGATTGGGCCCTTTGCCATATATTTCACTCTATGGTTCCCCATTTTTGCACCTTCATTTTTTTCTCACTACCCTCCTGTATTTCTTCTCATACCTCTACCTTTTATCTGAGGCACTTCATTGTGTTCCAGAGAAGTTTTCTATAGAACTTCCTTTTTTCTCCTTGTTATCTTAGCCTGTTCCACTTCTTCTGCTGTGTCCTTCCTCACTTTGCTCCTTTGATTTTGGGACTTATTGGGTCGGGTTATGTTCCTCTTTACTGTCCACCTTCTTCCTATTTGTGTATGCCTTCATTCGGTTCCTTTTCTTCACCAAGACACTTGCAGTGGTGTTAATGTTTCTCTTGAGACCTAGACTGACATTGTATGACTTCAGTCCTTATTATCTTCCCACATTTTTCTTCTTTCTTGACCTTGCTCTTTACTACTGTTCCTCACCTGGTTCAGTCTAGCCCTAACCTTCACATTCCAAGTTCCAGGCCTTCCTTTTTTTTCTCATCTTCCTTCCACCAGACATCTAGTTCATTGCTCTTCTTGTCTGTGGCTTCATATCATGACTAATCCATCTCTTACTCTTCTCCTGCTGTTGGCCTCATTTTCTGCTGACAGTCGTTTTTCTTTTCTCTTACCCTTTATATGGTCTTTTTCACTGATTTGTGATTGGCCACGGTCATTGTGTCAGACATCTTCCTACTTATTCTTCTGTGCCATTCTTCCATATCTTTTCTATGTTCCATCTGTCAGATCCACATCTTCCAACTTCTTGAATTGGCCACTTTTATATTTGTTTGTATTGTGAGGGTCTTTACTCATCATATTCATAGCCTGGAATTGGCATTCCTTTTCTTTGATGACTGACTTCTATTGGCCCATTCTCGAATGGTATACTCTTCTCACACTTCCCTTCTTTTACAGGAAGCTTCTTGGTTGGGGTGGCTTTTCATAAGATCTAAGTCCTTTCTCATGCACACTCAGTATTTGGTGCTTCCTGGCATTTTCTGGTTGCAGTATTGAATGGTTGGTTTTAGTTTGTTAATTTGAATTATTAGCAGTGCAGTTCTGAACAGATTTTGATTAATTAGAAAATGTATGTAGTGTGTGTATATATCTATATTTTTTTTTTTGAGTTTCAGTTATTCTTTTACATAAATATTTATTTGGATAATGTTTTCCTCTACAGGCCAGAATACGAGTGTATAATTCCAGATGGTCTCCGTCTTTCTCTCTTGATACTGTTGGGAACACTGGTGTGGTAGTCTGTCATGATAATGAAAGAAAGAGAAAATATAAGGTATTTAGGAAACAATTTTCTATATCATTTACTTGTGCCAGGTATAAAGAAGTCAAAACAGAAGAATGTAATTATTTACTGATGCACATGTATAAATATATAGTAGACTTTCAATTTTTCGAGACATTCTACTTAAGAATGAAACTATAACCTTTTTTTTTAATTTTTGAGTGTGGAGTTTCTATTTATACAGTCTATTAATAGTTCATTTGTTTGCCTAAAGCTGTTCCTGTCAAACCAACTATCCCATCTTCAGCTGACCAAAATTATTATTATTACTCCATTTCTGGTAGTGATGAACAACACACAGGTAAATTCATTAATACAGTCTAAATGAATTAAGTGAAAATAAAATTTAGGAAAAAAAAACATTCTTAATTATTAGGGTACAAAGAATCTTTGTAACTATCATATAAGAATGAGAATTTTTGTTTCTTGTTTTCTAGAAATTTTTGGTTTTTGAAAAGGATAAAGTTTCTTTGTTCATACTGAAGTTTTGTGACTTTGAAAACTAATGCAGGAATCATCCATAAGAAATTCTAACCCAACTCTTGTAACTGTTTTATCTCAGTGAAAATTAAATATCAAAGAAGTGTTAAGTGGTAACACTAATTAATGAGATTTTTTTTGATATACAAGTATCTATAATGCCACTGTTGCAATGCACACACCAGTGTAGAAAATCAAACATAAAGAAATTGAATAAAAAAAAGTCACACTTTTAGTTATTTTCCCATCATTTGGACTTTTTTCTTTCTTATTCAGCAATATCTTCGCTTCATGGAAGAAAATGAACAAACTGACTTGTGGTTAGATATTGCACCTTCTCAAGTGAGTAGATTAAAGTGTTATTGTGTTGTAGTAATAACATTTTTTACACAAAATAAATTGGAGAAAAAAGATGTGTGAACAGAAAATATAAGGTATGTTGTTTACTAAATATTTCATTGTATTCAATATATGCAGTGATGGACATAGGCCTAAGGCACTAGAATGCAATTCCAGAGCTAAAATTAAGATTGAATGACATTTTATCAGTGAATTTTTAAACATCTTTTTGCATATTGTATCCTATGCTACTAAGTTACAAGACTGTCATAGCTAAAGTTCCTCCAGCAGTTTCACTCATGCATAAAAATACCATTTTCAATATGTAATTTGATAAAATATTATTTGTTTTGTTTTTTTAATGTCTGTATCTTTTCTTTTTTGTAGTGCCTTCCATTTTGGCCAGATACGGAATCCATGATGATGTTTGTCAAACATCGTGATAGCAATATTATATCACAGCACTTCTCCTTCAAAGAACCTTGTATAACTGTATTGAGAATGGATCATGGGGTATGAACTTGTTATTAATGTTACAGGTTTTATTTGAAATGTATGTAAAAGTTTAAAGAAAAGTCATAATATTTAAAAACACAGGTCTTAGGTTGTTTTAATGAAAGTTGGTTTGGTTTGTAACAGCATAGTGTTTCGAGAAAGTTGTTTAAAAATATCAAAAATCATTGAAGCTTTATAATACATTATAGTCAAAAATACAAGGATGTTTTTACTTTTCTTCACAGTGTAGTAACTCTTGAAGAACCTAATTTTTTTTAATAATATGTTGACATTGTTAGTGCCTTAATTTTGCCATACTTCACAAAGACAAATTATTTTAAACAAGATTTTTAGGTATACATGGTATAGGTGTGCATCAGTGTTTATTTAAAGTTATGCTAAGATAATATATGCTCATATTATACTATATAAGAAAGTTAATAACAATCCCTAAATCCATGTTTTTCTGTTTCAGTAATGTGATTTATTTTCTTTTTTTTAGTTAATCCAGAGCTTATAGAAGTTAGTGTTTCTAATTATCTTAACTAATATGGTTTTTCAAAGGCATAAATTAGATAGCATTTTTTTTCTCTAAATGTCATTAGTCTGCTTTGTGTGTGGAAGTTACTGGAGGCTCAGAGACCCCAACAGTAATATCTTTCTTCCCATACTGCCCTGGAGATGCTCCAGTTTGTGTTGAAAATCTGTGTGAAGACCTGTTTCTGAAGATTAATCAAAAGTTTGTCTTTTTTTTTTAATATTGTATTTAGTATTTGGCCATGAGATATCTCTAGTTCAAAATACAGTTATTTTCAATAATTTTTATTCTGCAGATTACAAATCTTATTGATGTATCTATAACCCTAATGGCTGATGAAATAGAGATCTCTTACTGAAGAATGGATACATAATATTCATTAACTTTCTTGGCATTTTTATATTTTTGAATTTTTTTGCCATAAGTGTCACCTTTTTTCTTGCATTTACTTTTTAGGAGAACTTTTTTCTAGAAAATTGGAAATTTTAAAGTAAAGGGGCAAAATTAACCTAAAAAACCCACCTACAACCCCTTTCCAGCCAGAACCTCTCCTCCATTTCTAAAAATCATGTATTTGTATTCTGTAGGTACACTGTACTACTTATACATAAAAAATAAAATGGGATTACATGAACTGCAATAGTCACCAATTTTTGGGTGTGATAGTCCTAGAAGCAGGAAAATAATTTAGTATAAATTTAGGCAAAATAAAAAAATAAAAACCTTGATATTTATTTAATTGTAATCTGACTTCAATGATTACAATCCAGTGTTTCAGGTAAGACAGTAGAGCTCTTAAGTGTGTGTACTAGCTCTACCCACAGTGTTTAGTGATGTCAAAGAGTGGTAGAAGGCAAAAGCACACAGTTAGCAGAAAAGCTCAGATTTAACACTGTGGAATCAGAAAGTAAAGTTACTCCAGGACTGTTTCTGGGTGAACAATTTTTGTTCAGCTTGCTCACCCTGAGACTGTCTCAGGGTGTTCAACGGAGGTTAATAGTCCTGTGAAATGGACATTAAAGTTCATTTTTTAAGAAGCTGATCAGAATAGTATATGTTATGTTGAAATTGAACAGCTAAAAACAAGAAACATAGTTATGAGTTTTTTGGAGTTAATAACACCTGCTTGAAGGATGTGCTTGAATAAACAATGGTCTCTGCTCTATAGCCTTAACCTATGGGAGCCTTACTTTCCAGAAGTGAGCACTTTTTGGTAACGTTGTTTGAACCATTAACTTCTCTAAAACATAAATCCTCAATGCACATTGACTACAAGCTGCTTGTAAGAACAGCATGTATCTTCCTAGGGGTATGTTATTTAATAAAACATATGTAGCAATGAGTTCAGTCTAAATTACATTTTTGAAGGACTTAACACTTTGATTGACCTAGAGTACTTTGAACATACATATCCTTGAATGATGTTTCTGATGTGACGTTCTCATAATGTTATACTCCCTCTTAATTAATTCTGTACAAAACTATAACTTGAATTTTTTAATCTAAAAAAATAATAATGATCGTTAATAAAATACATACATTTCTTGTTTGTCAGTTAGCCTTATCCAGACTGGAGAGCACCTTTCAAGGATTGAATGCATACCTGATATCAAATTCCAAACTTTGAATACAGATAATAATTCTGATTGTATTTCAACAGTTTTAACTCAAAATGATTTAAGGTCAATACTTTGTCATCGTGTAACATTTATTTAATGTAAATCTCAAAGTAAAATAAAAAATAATTTCTAATTTTATTTCTTTACGACTTGAGGAATCTTGTCTGTAACCGACACATTTGTTGACTGTGTTAGAATTTTCTACTTGTCTCAAAAGATAAATTTTTATTTGCTAAGAAACTATTATTTCTTGATAATATAATTAGCCAAGTCTTATTTCTTTTGTGATTTTTCTTCTCTGTTTGTGGTTTTATTATTACAAGGCCCTGTTTCCACCTTTTTATGATGTCACAGCATGTTGTCTGTAGAACTACTAATGAAACTCAGCTCTGATAATAACTAAAGTCAAAGTTTAAACACCATTGAATAGAGCAGATTATAAACGTTTTTTTATGTCTATAAAGAGGTGTGAGGAGTAATTATGGTTTCATGGGAAAGTGATTAAGTGTAGCTTCTGCAGAGAACAACAGAATCTAGTGGTAAGTTAAGAAGATTTAGGAACAAACTACAAGTCCTGGAATTTGTTAGTTTCTTTAAACATGATTTTCATTCTAGAAAATGTTTGTGTGTTTAATTATGTTTGTTTGAAAGCAATGAAAATTTTATTTAAAAATAATAAATCAGGTATGCTTTGTTATTTTAGGGAGTATGGAGGTGACAGAAAAAATGTTTAAATCACTCAAGCCCTTATTTATTGAATATTATTGCTAAGTTGCATGTAACTTAGTACACATTTCATGAATAGTATCTAATTTTCGCTTAAAAATTTATATAATTTAAATTTGTTTTTAAATATTTTTAACATTGTGGAATTTCAAGATTTTATTATGAGACACAGTTTTGAAAACATTAAAAATACTTCGTTTTCTTAGAATTTCAGTTATTTTTACTCTTGATCAAAAAGTTCCATTTTATATATAGAATCAATTTAAAGTTGATTGATATTTATTAACATGTTTCATTTGATACTTTATTTTGCTGATTGCAGTGGTTACCACCTTCCACTAGAAATTATAAAAAATAAATTGCAAAAATTAACTGACAAAGATATATTGTTGACCTACTATCTGACCTTTCACAGCATTGTAACTGTTGCCTTTTTTCAGGCTAGATAACAACATTTTCATTAACAGTATTTTTGTTTGAGTTTAATTTATATCTAATAAATATAGCTTTTTTTTCAGTAGATGTTAAATTATTATATTTATGTACATTGTTCAAATGCAATAAACTTATAATTTTCAATGAAGAGGGATTTGAGTCATTGGAATATTTTCCCATAAACTGTCATACTATCTAAATCTAAATAAACCTATCTGATATCTCTCATAGAAAAAAAAAAATCTGTAACTTTCAAACAGATATAAGTTAACATAAAAATGTATTCAGGAATGAAAAGAATGTCTATAAACAAAAAAAATTCCCTGGTGTGTGGTTTGTTCCTAGTTTTCCAAACATCTGATTAGATTGCTCTCATCTTTGCAGGAGCTCCATTCTAGTCACTTTCCCACAAAATTAGAAATTATAGTTCACACCACTTTATTGATTTTACTTTAGTGGGAATAGTTTATAATCTGCTCTGTCCAATAGTATTTAAACTTTGCCTATACCTTCATTAAAGCCGTGCTTCATTGGTACTTTTTCTGACCATGTGCTTTAACATCATAATTGTGGGAGATGGGATGAAGGGCTGTAATAATAACACCTTAAACAGAGAAGGAAAGTCACATGAGAAACAAGACCTGGATAATTTTATTCTCAATGAATGATAGTTTTTTAGCAAATAAAAACCTATGATTTAGGATAGGCATAAATATTCTAAAAAAATTAATAAATGCACTTGTAATTGTGCAAAAATGAAACTTTGAACTTCTTCTTTTCATTTCTTTGCTGAATTAGTCAAAGTAAATCTTACAAAATGATAAACTATCAATTCAAGGATACTTTCAAGTTAAAAATTGTAGAAATGAATTAGAAAAAAATATTTACTTAGATTTTGGAATTTGATGTGTTTTGCTTCATAAGGTGTTTTAAATAAAAAACTATATAGAAGCAGTGAGTAACAGAAAGGTTGTTATTAGCTGAAGGAAAATCATACATGACACCTCAACTATTATATGCATTCTTTGTATCAACAAGAACAGTGTCAAGATTTGTCTAAAGAGCTCTAATTTAGTTAGATTTGACCACATATAAAAGAAATAGAAACAAAATCTGCTGTTTATTAAAAATATGACTGGTAGATGATTAATTATATTGACAGCTTATTAGCACTATCCATTTATTTAAGAGGTTGATTTTCAGGCTACGAAAACATAAACATAGACCAGACCAAAATCTTAAAAAGAAATAAGTTTGCTTAGGATTATATTCAATCCTAAGCTCAGTGTAAGGGTTTAGTGTTTTTCATGCTTTCAGGCAGGTTCAATTTCAAAAATGAAAGAGAAGCTTGAGTTTCTGATATCTCTGTTCTCACATATGACTAGCATACAAGACATCCTCCTGAGTATCACTCAAGGAATTAACCCCAGATCACAGTTCTTGGGTGTTAGCCTAAAAATGTGGGAAACAGTCTCTAAAGGCATGATTAACGAGTTCAAGGCTAATTTTATCTTGTTCATTTGGAACTGGTAACTAAGTAGAGAATGCTCTAAAATTTTGAAAAAGTCATATGAATGAAGTTATAGGAAGCTTTAATTTATTATATCTACATGCCACACCTGTAAGCATAGATTTCATTATAGCTATTTGTAATGTATTACCTGTTAGCATGAATTCCATTACACCTGGCTCTAATCTGTTAGCTTTAAATGTGAATTTTGGTATGATCTGTAGGAGTGGATTTCTTTCTGGCTGTTTTTAATGTATTATATGTAAGCATCAACTTATAGCTGTCTTTATTTTAGATTTTTAACTTAGATTTTATTACAGTTGTTTTTGACCATTAAATTATATGTATATATATAATATCAAATCCTAATATAGTATCTTACTTCTGCTCACATAATAGCTTCTCTCATTTATTGCTGTCCTATATACTCAATATTTTTTGCTCGCTACTAGTCTTGAAACTCCCACCTACCCCACATTCGAGTTTGGTTCTACTGCATCTTCACAGCCTCTCAAAGAGACATTTCACCTTCTACCATCACAAATTGGATTCATCAACTTATTAATCTTGTGTTTACATCCCTATCTCCCGAATCCCAACATCTTTTCAGGTGTCATCCCAATAGATTCAACATATTACTTTTCTCCTGACATCTGCATCATTCTTTGGAGGAGATAATCCAGTCTGACCTGTGGACTACACCTAACATGCTCATCTCCCACTACCTAAATCATGTGGTCATTTCTTCCTCATCTGGATATCGTATTCCACCTGTTGCCATTCTTCATGCAATGGTTCAACTGTGAATTGGTAAGTTTTTACTTTCCTCCCTATCCTAAGGGATCATGCCCCTTATAGGTAGTGGATCCCATTCAGTGGCAAGTGGTGCCTGTCCTAACATGGACATGATGTACTGGTTGGTCTGGGTACCTCAGGTGTACTTCCTTTATCAAGCTGAGGCTTGGGAGTTCAGTATTGCAAGAACCTGGACTTGCTCATAGTTACTCTGATTGGCTGGGGTACACGTAGCATACCACATGTGGGTTGTAACTCATAAGTTCTGGTAGCAGAAGTCCATTTGATTTTGGATTTCAGTGAACCACCACAAGGTCACTTCCTCACCTACCTTCACTCAGATGCCGGTTTCTCAAGTGGCTGGTGTTGGTTAAGGTTTTGCACACATGTGCCTTGTCTAGGCGGATGAAATGGAACATTCTCTCTTCCATCTCATAGGCTTGAGGTGAAGACAGTCGGGACCCTCCTTTTACTGCAGACAGGAAAATAAATATCTGATGCTGCTTGGTTTTGGACTGGAGTTGACCCACTGAATATGGTCTGACGTGCCCTAGCCATTCTACCCCATGGAGCACATCTTTGGGAACCCTCCATCATACCTTCTTCTGGATGTCAGTTCCCAGGAGTTTGGTTTTGGTGTTGAGCTGGACCAACCAACATGTATGCAGTCTTGGATGTGCTGCATCTATTTTCCTCCCAATTCTGTGACACTTACTACTTCATTGCATAAGGAGTATACCTGGTACTGATGTGGTGTTGTCTTCCACAGGTGTGTTCCTCTCTCAAGGGAGGTCACACTCCATGGATGTTCTTCAGACACTTCCAAAGGGTGCTCATCTAGGTAACTTTTACACCAGTCCCTCCACATTTTTGGTGTGGTATTCTAGCTATTATGTGAGAGGAGGTAAGATACCTCTTCGGAAGTTAATATTTTCGTACACTGAAAATATATTTCCAACAGATACTTACTTGTGCTCACATTTCCCACCTTTCCTCCCCATTTACGATGCTTCTTTTGTGCCTAATCTCGAAGAGAAAGTTACGCTGAATTATATAGAAGGAGTTACTTGCATCAGGATAGTGTGGCATGCTCCTATTGTTTTAGGGTTGCCACATGCTATTTGCATGCAAAAATGCAATAGAACCACATTGAACATGGGGTAGATGAGAGTTTTAAGGCTAGTGGCAAGCAAAAAATTTGAGCATATAGAGGACAGCACTGAACAAGAGAAGCTATTATGTGAGAGGAGGTAAGTACTTATCAGAATTATATTTTCAGTGTAGAAAAATATTAACATTTTATGGAATTCAGTACAATGGTTTCCAGTCTATTAACTGAAAATGTGAATTTCATATAGTTCTTTATGATATATTATTTTTATGCATGAAATTTCTTAAAACTTATTCTAATGTATTATTTGTAATCAAGGACTTCAGTTGAATTGCTACTGATATATTATTTGTATAAATATCAGCTGTTTCTGATACATATTTCAAAGTAGTGATTTCATTGCAGCTTTTCATGATTTACTAAATGTATGTATGAATTTCATTGTTGTTGTTCTTGATTTTTTTTTTTTTTTTAGTATCTTTGGGCCAAGTGACTTTGCTGAGTCCATATCAGTCAGTTCTTTATACCTGGGATGACCCATCCTTAGAAAGAACTCTTATCTGGAATCTCTACAACCGAAAAAAAAATGGTTTTTCTGCACAGATTTTCAAGGTTGAATATATATACATTCATCTTTGTTTTGAAGTAACAATTGTGAAATTTTCTCTAATATGTACCATTAGTTTTGAATTAAATATTCTGATCTTCATAAGTGCTGTTTCTGATTATTTACTTCAGGACAAATTTCTACTTTTTAAAAAGTTAAACAATTTATTGTAATATTCACCACCATTCTAAAAAGTTATCTTTTAATTCATATTTCCAAATCAATATTTTTAAAATTAAGTTACTTTTTCAGGATGGTTTTGGACATGAACAGCTGACTTTTCACTCTCTACGCCCAGCTGTAACATCTAACCAAACAGACAAGTCTCCTGTTATTGCCAGTAGCTCAGATGATGGTAGGTATCAACCAGTTAAGGAAAACAAGTCTTGTCAGTATTAGTATTGTAGAAAATGGTATGTAATTTTCAGTCAACAAGAAGGAGATGTTTAAACAAAAAAGTAATTGTAGCCATGCTGTGGTGCATTTTCCTTTTCTTTATGTGTTTATATGCTAACTAAAAGTCAAAGCCATAGCATAAATGGTTTAGAAATATATTTTTATTTGCACTCTTCCTTCCAGTTGTAATGTTATCCCATTATGTATGAAAGAAGTATTCCACTCTTGTTGAAAGCCTTCACTGAGCAGCTTATGAATCACCATTACTATGACTTGTGATGGTGTAAATAGACATAGGCACATTGATATATTTTAATCACTTTAATAATAGCAAACATAATTTAGTTAATTTATTTTGTTAGTAAAAGAATGGTCACTTCTTTAGTTGTCAGTTTCTCACTTGTTTGCAATGGCCTATTAATGTGGTTTTATGAAGGACATGTTTTCATTCACTCAGTAAGCTTCTGTTGCATTATCAGAATTCAATTACTAGTATTTATTCCACTAGGTTCTACAAGAACTACAGTGATGTACTTTCTAGTAATTGCCCTATTAGGTTCTATAAGAACTAATATAATGTTCTCACTAGTACCTGCTCCCTTATTATCTACAAGAACTAGAATGGTGTGCTCATTAGTGTTTGCTCCATTAGGATCTACAGTTACTGAGATGATGCATTCACTAGTATTTGCTTCATCAGGTTCTATAAAAACTAGAGTATTGTGCTTACTAGTATCTGCTCCATTAGGTTGTACAAGAATTAGGATGATGTTCTCATTAGTATTTTCTCTGTTATATTCTACAGGAACTAGGATGATGCTCTTGTTAATATTTGTTCTATTAAGTTCTTGAAGAACTAGAATGATGTTCTTGTTAGTATTTACTCTGTTATGGTCTACAGGAACTAGGATGACGCTCATGTTAATATTTGTTCTATTAAGTTCTTGAAGAACTAGAATGATGTTCTTGTTAGTATTTGCTCTGTTATATTCTACAGGAACTAGGATGATGCTCATGTTAGTATTTGTTCTATTAAGTTCTTGAAGAACTACAATGATGTTCTTGTTAGTATTTGTTCTATTAAGTTCTTGAAGAACTAGAATGATGTTCTTGTTAGTATTTGCTCTGTTATATTCTACAGGAACTAGGATAATGCTCATGTTAGTATTTGTTCTGTTAAGTTCTTGAAGAACTAGAATGATGTTCTTGTTAGTATTTGTTCTATTAAGTTCTTGAAGAACTAGAATGATGTTCTTGTTAGTATTTGTTCTATTAAGTTTATGAAGAACTAGAATGATGTTCTTGTTAGTATTTGTTCTATTAAGTTCTTGAAGGACTAGAATGACGTTCTTGTTAGTATTTGTTCTATTAAGTTCTTGAAGAACTAGAATGACGTTCTTGTTAGTATTTGCTCTGTTATATTCTACAGGAACTAGGATGATGTTCTTGTTAGTATTTGTTCTATTAAGTTCTTGAAGAACTAGAATGATGTTCTTGTTAGTATTTGTTCTATTAAGTTCTTGAAGAACTAGAATGATGTTCTTGTTAGTATTTGCTCTGTTATGGTCTACAGGAACTAGGATGATGCTCTTGTTAATATTTGTTCTATTAAGTTCATGAAGAACTAGAATGATGTTCTTGTTAGTATTTGCTCTGTTATGGTCTACAGGAACTAGGATGATGCTCTTGTTAATATTTGTTCTATTAAGTTCATGAAGAACTAGAATGATGTTCTTGTTAGTATTTGCTCTGTTATGATCTACAAAAACTAGGATGATGCTCTTGTTAGTATTTGTTCATGTATGTGTAAAGTAATTACCAAAACAATTACTTCAACAAAATAAGTGTAAAGAAACTCAATAAGTTAACTCTTTCAGAACGGGCATCATTTTATGTGTATGTCAGGAGGTTTTAGCGAGTTACATTCAAAATTTGATTAAACTACTTTCTTATCATGGTATATTAATAAACTTGGCATAAAAACATAGCTCATAATCCAAATTTTAACATTGTATAAATTTTAAGTTCTTACTTTTGTAAGGCAATATTAAAAACAAATCCCCAATTTCTCCTAGTGTGAGAATTGTGACACTTGTTCTCTTGGTATCTCTTCTTCTATAATTTATTTATCACTCCTCTAAAAAGTATGAAATTTAACATAAATTACTCATTATAATCTTGTCATTGCTCAGGCAAAGCATAATGTTTTGTAGCCTTCAATCTTATTTTGTTGCAGAGCCATCAACTATAAAATCAGGCCCCATTAGCCATGCTCATCTGTCACATCCTTTCTTACAGAAATTGCCAATAGTTCTCTCTGACATTTAATGCTATATTATTTATAGCCAAGGTTTTAATCTATCAAATTATGTAATATATTATATTGTTTTCTTTACAGAGAATTGTCTATTTTGCTTTTAGTTCAAACTTTATTCCCATTCAAAACACATTGACAAGCTTAGCTGAATTTGTAATGGCTCTTCTAGCATAGTTAGAAAACCAGAATTATGCTAGTTATAGAACTTTGTCTGCTTTTTGCATGTTACTGTTCTGTGTTTTTGATGCATTATTTAATTAAATAAAAAATTATTTAGTGCAGTAGTACCATTAGTATAAACAAAAAAAAAGTAGGGTTAAGTGTCATCAACAGTTGACAGCCAAGTAAGTACAATATTTCTTGTTTTTCATGTGTATTCTTTACTTATTATTATTAAAATGTAAAAATTAGAAACTTATTAGGTTAGTTTAGGTAAAATAAAGAATAGTAATAATAATAAATTATTTTCATGAAGTATGCTTGCAAGCAGCTCATGAGTAGCCAGTGCAATACATAATTGATTTGAAAATTTTGTGGCAGGAGTATTAATTTAGACACAGTTTAAAGGGCAATAAACCAATAAAATTCAAGTATAAGCTTATATATACTGTTACTAGTTTAAAACTATTTAGGATAAACAAGTGTTGTTTCATGTTACAATTTGAAGGCATTCTAGAAAGAAAAAAATGGGTAATTTAGATGTATTTCAATTTTATTTTTTGACCAACCTCGTATATAGAATTAGCGTAGAGAAAATAGCAGATAAAATATAAAGTTTTACTGAAAAATAACGTTTTAAATTACTTAGAAGGTTTAGAGATTACAAAAATCAAATTTTGAAAATTTTCAGATGAATAAAAGTATTTTTAATCTTAACATAAAAATCACATTGTACTCAGACTAGTAGACAAAACTACCCTATATGTTCACAGACAAATTTTCATTAATTTTGATTACAAAATATAATTTTTTGGTACAAAAGTCTTACAATGTTTTCTCAAAATATGCCAAAGTTTGTGAAGAAACACGTACTGTATGTTAAAAGTTATAGTGTGAAAACTTTAACGAGTGCAGAATGGTTTCATAATCGATTGATTTGATCGAGTCCGTGTGAAAAGAGTTAATTTGTTACCTTTCTCATACAAGTTTATTAGTAACTTGCATTTATTTCAAGGCAAGAATACTGCAGAGTCAAGTGCAATAAGTAACAGTTTTTAAAATTAACAATCATATAAGGAAGGAAGCTCTACAGCAAATACATTGGGAGAAATAAAATAATCCCAGCTTTTAGACAATATATTTATGATCTCATTAGTTTCTGAAACTAGATAGTTGTAAACAAAACAAACAGCAAGTTGAATTTACAGTTCTTTACATTATGAACTTCAAAATTTACTGTTTTTAAAAAAAAATAGTGAAATTAATTTAAGACAACTCAAAACTTAAGCAGAAATGTGAAACATGACTTAACACAGATATAAAATTTTTGACTTACTGGAAATGGATAGATAGCCTATAAAATGCTTTTCATGGTAATTGCACCTTAGTGAGACAGTTAAATTATCCCTGATATCAGCTACAAAGTAACTGGTGGGGATTAAGAACCAAAATGTGCTTGCTCTGAATCCATTACAAATACCTACAGTGTTGTGTACAGAATTTATTTTTCAGCAGAACTTGTGGTTACCAGAAAATTGCATAATGTTTACTTGAAAGTTTGAGACAACAACTTAACACGTCTGTATGCCTTTAAGATAACTGAAATAGCCAGTTGGGAGATTATGTGATTCTCCATTTATATCATATACCACATTTCTTATGACAACATAAGGATAAAAGATGCATCAAACTATTTTTATTGCAACCCAGTTAGATCCACGGCATAAACAATTGAGTTTCTTAGTGTATGTATGCATTCATCATTGGGAGAGGAGCTAAAGTGACTTTGAAAGAAACAACAGTTGAAAACTAAGCAGACTAAAAATGATGTCCCTGAATTGGCATGAAATATTATGAAACTCAATCAAAATGTCAATTCTGTAGCTGTGATAGACAGCAATAATAAAAAAGCAATTTACTTTTTTCCTGGTAAATTTACTGCCAATGTAGTATTAATAGCAATAAATTCAAATAGTATTGAAATGACTATTAAATGTTGCCAATGGACATCCACGTGGGAAAACAAGCAGTTGTATTACTCTTATAGTTCTAAAGACATTCCTCCTGGTGCTGTCAATAACATTATAATAAAACTGAACCTTTGATCAACAAGGAAAAAAATTTCATTTACAATCCAGCAAATAGAGAAAATGATTTTCTCTTAATAAAATCATGTAGCATCAGATATCAAGAGTAAATACTGTTCACTTGTTATATCAAGTTTACTGATTTTACTTTAATTATATATGAATGATTATTAATGTTGTATCTTACTCTTTTTGAATATATGACAAACAAAACTACACAAATCAAGCACAAAACCTAAAGTTAATACAGTAAAAGATAGAGCCTTGCTGACATTTAATATAAAGATATTGGAACAGTATAAATGTATGGAAAAGCTCCAAAATGCCTTGTCTAATATCAACAAGGCATAACTTTTTCTTATAAACTCTGATAATGGTATGTAACAAGTAATAAAAAATACAAGATTTTTTGTTGCACTAACTTGCACAGGTGAAGAATAGACATTTTTTTTATCAGTGTGGTATGATTCTTGATATTGTAACTCATATGATGGTAAGTAACACACACTTGAGTAAATAAGCCTGTTGTTATTTATTTAACTCACATAATGATTAAAAGTACCCAATTAACTTGTCAGTTTTTCAGACAATTGTAACATCTTATCAACAAGAATAAGAGCCATATTTTGTTGATAAGATGCTACAAACAATCAAAACATATGAGTTTTGTTAATGTTAGCTACTTAGATGATGGTGTGTAATATCCAAACAATGTGATGTGGCTCAAGTCATTGCGAGTTGATCAATAGATGGTGAGTAATACCCAATCAACTAGTCAGTGACTTAGACAATATAGGTAATATTCAGTCAGTGAATCAAGTCTCTTGTTATTTTTTGAAGCTCAGATAATAGTAAAAAATATCTAATCAACACTGCATGACTCTTACTGTTGAAAACAACTCGGATAATGGTAAAAAAATACCTAATGAATACTACATGATTTCTACTGTTGAAGATAGTTTGGATAATGGTAAAAAAACTAAACAATACTGCATAATTCTCACTCTTGAAAATAGTTCAGATAGTGGTAAAAATACCCAATCAATATTGCATGATTCTTACTGTTGAAAGTAACTCGAATAATGGTAAAAAATACCCTATTAACATTGCATGATTTTTACTGTTGAAAGTAACTTGGGTAAAGGTAAAAAATACCCAATCAATACTGCACGTTTCTTACTGTTGAAAATAGCTCAGATAATGGTAAAAAAAAACATTCACTACTACACAACTCATACTGTCGAAAATAGCTTGGATGATATGACTTGATCTATGTTCATGATAATGGTTTATATAATGGTAAATCACATCCGAGCAACAATATCTAGCTTTTATCCTTGGTAATAACTAAGGTGGTTGTTAAAATATCCAACTAATATGACACAACTTTTGTCATTGTAAGCAACTAGGATGATAGTAATAGTCAGTCAACAAGACTTGACATTTGTCTTTGTTAGTAGTTCAGAAGATAGTAATATCCAAACATGAAGTCATTGTTGTTGTTTTTTAAATAAAAAAGCAGCAAGAAATAATAGACAATACATTAATGGGGGAAAACTGCCCTTCAAGTTATAATTTCAGCCCCCAAGTTGAACATAAATACCCAAGATGTTAAGTTATTACTATACTAAATCCAACCAATATTATAAGTAAAGCTCCCATCCCCCACCCTTTCATGCTACTATCTGGATCTTCAGAGGTTCTAAAGAGATCCACACAGTAACAGGTCTTATATAACTACCACTACATTAATGTACCTATACAAGATATGAAATGTCCAATAAATAACTCCAATTATTTCCCACACAATAAATTTTAGAAATTATTTTTTATTCTGCATATTATAATATTGTTTAAATCACTATTTTCAAATTTGTATAAATATGTTCTATATTTATTATAAAATAATTTAAAATATTTAATTAAAGTTTTCTCCTTGAACCCATTAAAAACCAATTTATGTACTAATATATTAATGTTAGATATTAAAACCTGTACATTACTACAAATTTTACAATACCAAAGGAGCTAAGAGTGTATAATGCTCTGTATAGCATTTGGTGGTACATTACTGTTTGGAGAGGGAAGTCCCAAAATTTTAAATGTAAAATCATTTCTTTTGTCATAAATATTAATATTACAACAATTATTAATTATCTTAATGTTTAAATCTAAACAATGTACTTCAGTATTTGATATAGAAGATTTCTCAATCTGTAGAACTGCAGGATAAATGTTACCTATGTAATTACTTATTCCAGGGTTATTAATACTAATCAAATTGTCAATGTATCAGTATGTTAAGGGAAATAATTCTGGATTTGAAAAATTATTTATGAATTTATTTTCTAATAATGAAGATATAGACTGGCAGCACAGCTCAATTAATTAGCACCCATTGGTATACCTATTATTTGTTTATAAATGCACTTATTAACATAAATATAATTATTATATACACAAAAACTAAAAATGAATTTAACACTATTACCAAATCATTAAGTGGTATAGATGTAAAAATAATGCTTACAGTTAGAAGAGTTTGTCAACTTCACAGCTCCTACACCTTATTTATCAGGTATGTCAAATTTTAAATGTTTCACCCTTAGCCCTTGATTTCTCTCTTACCTTGTTGGTTGAAGAATCTTGTTTCTGATTATTATGTTTTTCCTCCCTCACCAAACATCTGACTTTATGCTCAAAGTTTTGCTGATCAATTGCTGTCGGGTGTGGGTATGCCCCATCCTACCTGGTTGATGGACCAATATTCTTTCGCTTACCAGTGGGCCTTGAATCCCTTTTTGGATTCCCAACGTCTGGATCCTCTCCTCCCCCTGTGGGACTCAAACCCAGTGGCTTTGATTCACTTTAATCAATCTCAGTTTTCTAGGATTCGTCTTACCCTGACCACCCTTTTGCCAATCACCTGATCAATTTTCTGATTAACTCAGGACCATCCTGTGGTCTACTGTAGTGGAGCACGGGAGTCCTTACCACTTTGGTTCCCAGCTGCTAGAGTGGTGGACCATGGAAGAAATCAAACTCATACCTTATAAGTACCGACTCAGTGAGAAGAGGGCTGTCGTCATTATAATTATTGAATAGGCAATAACATACTATTCTGGATCCAAGGTGCTTCCCCTGGATGTTTTGCCTGGCGTGACTGCACTTGTTTATCTTAATATACATGCTTATTCAAGGTGCTTTCACTGGATGTTTCTGCCCAGTTCACTGCACTTGACTTACTTAATAGAATCCCAAGGTGTTTCCCCTGGATGTTTTTGCCCGGGTAGACTGTACTTGGACTAATCCTATGTATTCAAGGTGCTTCCCCCTGGGTTTTGCCCAGGCAGACTACACTTGTTGATCTCTGTATCTTATGCAAGGCATGTCCACTAAAAGTTTTCTGCTCAGATGGACTGCACTTGACATACTCTGTAATAGAACAAGGCGCTTCCCCCGGATTTTTTTGCCTGGGCTGACTGCATTTGTTGATCACAAAATCAATTGCAAAAAAAATATGAAAAGAACAATCTTATGCAAGATGCTTCCCCTGGATGTTTTTTGCCTGTACATACTGCACTTGTTGATCTTAAAAACTTGTGCAAGGTGCTTCCCCTGGATGTTTTTTGTCTGTACATACTGCACTTGTTGATCTTAAAAACTTATGCAAGGCACTTCCGCTGTTGTTTTTGCCCAGGTGGACCACATTGGGATAATCTGATGTATTCCAAGATGCTTTCCCTGGATGTTTTTTGTTCAGGGGTAGACCACACTTGGCCTATTCATATACAATCTATGGTCCTTTAACCCTAGCCACTTATGCTAATATCACATTATCTGGCAAATACTATGACTATTATTCCTATATTACATAGTATGACCTACTATATATGTGGAAGAATAATGCACTATTTGTTTACAACAGGCTGATTCTGAATTGTCAGACAAAATTTCATCCCACTACTTATTTATGATGCTTCCTTTGTTATTTTTTTGTTTGTTTGTCTTTTAAAATGTGAAGATCGCTCTTGTTGTTACCAATATACTCGACAAGACATCAATGGACTTGCTCCAATGTGCTCCAGGACTCTTCTCTTGGTACATAACTCTTTGGGCCTGTTGTTGATTACATACTAGACATTTCATGTGTCCACTCTGTCCTGATTCACGTCATAGTTATACTGCACTGTTTCAGTATATGGTGCCTGCCTCATACATTCCGTATTATATATATTATTGCTTTGTTACTGGGTGAGAAGCATACCTGTTCTTTTCAGGCAATTGTTATTTGCTTATTTGAACACTGTCACGCCTTCACTGGCCCCTCCACCTTTTCATTGTAGGACTCTAGCTTTGGGTGAGAGGAAGTAGTACTGTTTTGGAAGTTAACATTTTCTTATACTAAAAATGTATTTCTGATAGGTACTTAACTCCTCTCACCCACTTCCTACCTTTCCTCCCTACTGATGTGCTGGTGTTTTTGTTCGTAATTGCCAATTCTTGAAAATGAGGATTGTGCTAGAATAGTAGAGGGAGCTACGTGCACAAGTATAGGTGATGCAGTATGATTGGTGGAAGATAGTCACATGATATGTACATGTTCTGAAATGATGCGAAAATAAAGGGGTATAATAAACTGGTGTGCTATTAGCAAAAATCTTTTAAGCAATGCTTAGAGGGCAAATCAAGGTTGAGATAGCTTTGGGTGAGAAATATTGGAAATACATATTCAGTGTAGGAAAATGTTAACATTTCTAAAATAAGATACTCTCTAATAAGTCCTATATATATCCTTTTTTTCCCCCATTTTACAGATGATAGTGAGTCCGAAGATGGAATCTATCTCCCCAGAAAGACACGAAAAGACAAGGTTGATGTTTATTGGGTGTCATTTCTGGATGGCCACCAGAGGGTTCTGCTTTTTACTCAAGATGAAAGAATTGCCAGTCATGCCAGAAAGGTGAGTCATATACATGTGTTTTATGAATTTTATCAGTAGTGTTTATTGGGTGTCATTTCTGGATGGCCACCAGAGGGTTCTGCTTTTTACTCAAGATGAAAGAATTGCCAGTCATACCAGAAAGGTGAGTCATATACATGTGTTTTATGAATTTTATCAGTAGTGTTTATTGAGTGTCATTTCTGGATGGCCACCAGAGGGTTCTGCTTCTTACTCAGGATGAAAGAGTTGCCAGTCACGCCAGGAAGGTGAGTCATATATACGTGTTTTATGAATTTTATCAGTAGTGATTTTTCTAAAAATCTGCTAGATCGTATGCAATAAAAATTATATATAAAAAATATTTATTTATTTAATAGATATTCAGGACTGTTTTAATTATTGTTAGAACAATAAAAGTTCATAAATATATATTTTTTAAAATTTAGCAAGTAATGCATAAATTATATAAAACTATTTTGATCATAGAAAAAATGTTTCTTGTTCATTAACTTTTTTATATGTAGGTGTAACAATGCATGAGTTACTACTGATTGAACAATGTAGTAAATAGAAGTGAGTAATGCATTTCATCAATGTTAGAGGTTTTAGTGATTCTTTCTTTAATATAGATAGTTTGGTACATGTTAAGATGTCTGTTAACCCCAGATCACCAACTTGTTTACATACCATTCACTATTGATGGAGTCCACATATTGCATCATATTGAGTAATATTATATTTTGCCTGTCACAGTACTTGGTATAAATATCTGGCTAAAATAAGTAGTTGATGTCACTCATATGTAAAATGCTTAGGAAAGCACAGCAGTGATTAGTGGGATTAACTGTAATATCAATGGTCTTTTGGTTTCCATTTTTTGTGTGACTGTCTTTTTAAGGATCTAGTAACTAACATATTCGTGGATCCATCAGAAATTTCGTGCAGAGTAGTTTAGAATGGTTTTTAATCCAATGGTTTTATGAACTCATTTGATAATTAAGATGTTATTATATTCCAAAAGTAAACTATACTTGTATCCTGAAACATTTGTTGTATAATTCAACATTACTAAGTTCTTTGATAAGCTTGTTGAATTTAAGATACCATGTCTTGGCCATTTATAACTCATTATTTATTTGAGCATAGTTTTTTTTTATGTGCAGCTTCTAATATCAGTGTTTGGTTTGGAGCATTATTAACATTTGATACATTAATTAAAGTAACTGGTCATATATTTCTGATGTTTGTACGTTAATATACTACAAACATGAATCAAATTATTGAATTAAATCCCCTAACACAACATGCTGCAGACATAGAAATGCTGTTTTATTTGCTTAATATTTTCTAGAAAGGATTACATTTCTTACCATTAACCCAACTGACATAATGAGAGTTGTTACAGCTAAAAACTGCATTGCTCAACTGGTTATGGTATGGTTTGTGTTTCATTTTATGATCTTGTTTGGTAATAGATGTTTTATTGTTTAGGCAATTGATGGTGAAATGGCAACCTTGGAATGTTTCCTGTCACTTAACAGTATAGGGGTTTCACTTATAAATAGAGCTTATACAGAAGTTGCTTATCTTGGACTCTGCAATGCCCCTCCCATCTGGGAGATCCAGATCAATAACTCCTGGAAATTTCTCACACTTGATCTGTCAGCATGGCTAGAAGACAAGTGGAAAGCAGAATTTCAGATAGCTCAACTGAAAGACTATTTGTATGTAGATTTGAGCAAGATGCAAATGACTAAACCATTTTTTGGTCATTTGCGACGTACTTACACACCTGGTTTATGGTTTCAATTCAGGAAGTCTGATCACCAAATGTATATGCATTTCAAAACCCACAGAATGCAGGTATGCAGTATTAGGATGAATACATTATTTTTTCATTCAATTTCAATTGGTAATTTAGTAACTAAGAAAGCTAGCCAAGTCATACATGCTTTGTTTTCTTATTAAGCTAAGGGTAGTAATAATATATACAATAAACTATGTTTGAATATGTGTATTTTATTATTAACCTAATGTAACTTAGTATGACATTAGAGAATCATTTCAAGTGCATGTGTTCTATGAGTCCTTACATTTAGTAATCTCTTGAAAGGTGGAAAATCAGCTTCCAGATGCTGTATTTCCAACAGTATTTTACTCGGCTCCAACACCTAAGGCTATAATTCGTCGTTCTGGTCCCAGGCCATTTGTCGAACTCAAGCTGTTAACTCATCGAACAGAAGATCTGAACCTGGATACTATCAAGTAGGGAAATGAAAAATTTGTTTATATCAGATACACAGAATATAATATGTATTCAATACACAAGTTTTCAGTTATCCTAACAGGGTATTTCCTTCAATTATCAAGTAGGAAACTGCTAGTAATCTAACTATTAAATGAAGTTTAGTAGAAGATTATAATAAAGGCTGTTGTAGCTAGGATATGATGATGGGTGTAGAATAAGTAGTGGTATTCTTATGCAGTATTTTATCATGTAGGAATTTCTGAAGCTATTACAGTTAACTCTTTCACAATGGGCAGATACAGATTTACATATTCTCACAAAAATCAGTAAGATTTTGTTAGATATCATAAGGTATCTTCTACACAAAGAATGACATTATTTTAAACAAGTCTTTGTAAAAAACTGTTTTTTTTATCTATTGTAGTTATTTGCACTCAAATTCTGAATAGTCCATGTGCAAGGTGATTTTCATTTTAAATATAAAAATATTTTTCTACATCTTACAGTTTTCAAATTTCATTTGCATAACCTCTAGGACCTCCTAAATGAATATCAAAAATGTTTTGAAGGTAAATTCTTATATTTTATTTTCCATTAGTAGTACTACCATATCACCAACTCTGGCTATTATCATCAATTTACAGTGCAATAAAATGTTTAAAATTAAGAAACAGCATTATGTATATACCTTTTAACTCTCTGTTGAATAATCTAAAAATATTTTCTGTGGGTCACCTGCGTAATTTCGCATCTTTATCTTTTCACTTATAGTTTACTTTTAATGTTTTATTTTTCTTTTCTGTCCTTTACAGTTTATTATTAATCTCAACACAAGTCAATGATGCTTTTGGGGCATATTATAGTACCTTCAGGAGAGATGCGCAAACCTTTGACAAAATTATCTTACACTTGCACAACATCGTAAGCCTTGAGAACTTGGGCAACGTTTGAGATAACCTTAAAGAATGTTTAAATTTTCATTTATGCATTCTAAAACATAAATAATACATAATGAACTAAGATATAAAAGTAAAACCTAAATGTAATTTAACTGTCTTTCTAACTATAACATAGTTAGGTAAGAAACAACTGAAGTGCTATTGTGAACAAAGCAACCAACAGTAGAATTCCTTGGATTCCAAAGCTATATTAAGCATTATGAACCCCATAAGACCTGGTAGTTGCTCACCGCTAAAAGTATTAATTTGGTGTTTTATATTATACACATCAGCACGTTTCATTAAATAAAAGATTCGGTTACTGTGAGGTTACTGATACAAAGAATGAGTGACATAGTGGGTGGAGTTAATAATCTAGTCCACAAAGTAAAATTATTTTATTTTTTATCTTATTTTTTTTTTCCTTAGGTATTTTAACTTGCTAGTTCAGCAGATGAATGTTAAACTAGATAAAGGTTTTCTTCTCTCTGTATATGACATGTACACTTCATTATTTCAACCTGAAGAAGAGGTAAGTTTTATAATTTCATGCTTTTGTTTTTTTTATACTGTCACTGGTTTTGTTGGTTAAAAAATTCTTTTAAGATATTTATTTATTGTATTAATTTTTATCATCATTAAATATAGAAAGTTAGAATTATAGTATGATAAATTACTTCATGTAACTAACAAACGAAATAAGATATAGACTGGAGATTACAGTATTAAAATTAAGATCAATTACCTTTCATAAATTTATGAGAGAAAAACAGTAGGTAAAATTTTTGAAATAAAACTTGAAGGATAGAGATTACTCATCAAGGTGTTGAAGAATAATGAAAAAATTTCAATGTTTCATATAAAATGTTTTGTAACTCTTATTAAGATAAAATATGACAGGGAGAACTATTTAAATTAATATGCATAATTATAAATTGAAAATGTTAATTACTAATATAATCCATCTAATTAGGTATAGGGGTCTGATATGTTAAATGAATCAACAGTTTTTCATTAATGTTATTATGGAAAAGATTGCCTGGGTTAAAGACAATTCACTGTTCAAATAAGCATTTCTCATGATTTTGTGAGATTTGATATTTCCATGACCAAGTGGAGGAAAAGTCATAATCATATTGATTAAAATGGTCAGATACAGGTTTATCAGTGTTGCCAATTAAAATGTGCTGAAAATGTGACTAGTTTTACATTTATAAAAGAAGTTAAAGATCATGCAACAAAGATTTGGCTTAGAAGTACAGTTAGTGTTTCTATATGGTTAGCTTACTTTTAAGATCATGTATTAAAACTTTGTTATCAATATGATTTCAGGAAGTGCAGTAAGGATTATTGTTAGGCTAGGAACTAAGGTCAGTATGGTTAAATTCAGGTTGTTAGTATTTGATCTGACTTAAAATATCACATGTCCAGGTTTCATTTTTATTTGTGCAAAACAACAAAAAATTGTAGTCACAAAATACCTCTGGTACATTAGAATCATTTTGTAGGATGTGGAAATTATCAATTATTATTCTGAGGAAATGGATGGCCACTCATGTGGTTTATTGTTAAGCTTAATGGGTTATAATGCTTATGCTGGAGGTTTGATCCCCATGAGGGCACAGCATAAACAGCCCATAGTGCATAACAACAAAGAAATTTGTGTATTGGAGGGATGGCGCAAAACAGTGTTAGGTATTTTTTTAACACTTCCTTACAGAAGGATAGAGCAACTCCGTGTGTGATGAATGTCTAGCTTTATCTAGTGGCTGATAAACTACAGGATTAGAGCTGCCACAGCAGGCAGTATTTGTGTATAGTGCTTTATAAAGTTTTTATTTCTCTTCAACAGTTTGATTAATAATTTCTATCCTAAAATTCAATTTTTGCCCATAATTTTCTTCAATATTTAATCATGAAAGGTCACAAACAGTATGACCTTTGCTGTATTGTTATTATTTATTGTATTGTATACAATATATTGTATTGTTTACATTGTTATTTTTCCATGTTCTTTGAGTGCTTTGTAAATACTATTTCCAAAATGTGAGGCTAACATGAGCCTGAAATGTTTATTCTAAATACAAAAGGGAAAATTCACTTAGTTTTACATCACTTCCACATTTTATAATTGTACATACTAACATATGTTCAACTCATTTATCTTGTTAACTGCATTGTGTTTATAAATATGTGAAGAATGTATTGTTTTTCTTATGCTGAGTTGACGTATGTACTGAAAGTAATTTATTTCCAGAAAAGTCTGATAAAAGCTGATCTTTCAGCAGTGGAAAAGCCTTTAAAGGAGATTAATGTAGGTGTGGTAAGTAGAAAAGAGAGAGACAGAATATTTATCAGCATTTTAAATCCTTTAGACTGGTTTGTAAGTAACAAAAACAAAAATAATGTGAAAATATAAAAAAAAAAATTGTCAGTAGTCATAGCCTTTAGCTCAACTTGAAATGAATTTTAGTGTAATATTATTAATTCATGCACTGTTTTATAATAATATACTTACATACAACATTTTTATCTTTTGTTGCATATAGGCTACACATTTAAGTCTATAATATTAATTGGCATGTTTTTATCTGCTCTAACTTAATTTTTAATATAACTTTCTAAAACATAAAACCTTGTCTATGCCATAAGAGTTTAAAAATAGATACAGTGAATACAAACGTTTTTCTCCATTTCATGTGATAAATGTGAAAAACTGTCAAAAACTATATATATGACTGCTTATTCTCTACTAGTCGTTGTTCTGTTCATTGGTGTGACATAGTATATTTAAAAAATTTGAATAGAGAAATGGAGCTAGATGGATAGACAGAACAATAGAAAGAGACATCTACAGTTGATAAGTATTAATAGATACATAATTAACACACGTTTAAGTAAAAACTTTTTTCTGACTATTTCAGCAGAAGGTATTTGTCATGCAGTATATATTTTTGTGATATTTTCAGGTAAAACTGAGTTAACCAAAGAGCAGTTAGATAGGTTCACTTAATAACAGGAGATTCAATATGATATTTATTATGCACTACTTTTTAGTTCTCTGGCTGATTTTGAGAAACAAAGAACTAGACACAATATGAAAACACGGTGAAAACTATTTATACTCAAAAACAAAATAATGTGAAGAGGATGAAGCACAGTGCCTTTACTAGTTAGCTAACTCTTTGTATTTTCATAACAACTTATAAAGATGTTTAATAAGATTTAGTTAACATTAAATGTTAAACTTCAGGATAATATTACTATTTACAAAGAAATAAATTAATCTTCTCTTACCAAACTGAGGGCTTGTGAAAGAGAGAGCTAGCCAAGTAACCAAGAGATCATAGCATTATATATCCAATATCTGTAAAACCACATTCTCACGATCTATGTCACTGTTAGTCAATCTCAATAAACATAAGGGTGGCTATAACCATGAGATATCACCTGACCTACCATTGTCAACATCCTTGAAAACATGAAATATTACAGCAATACCAACCTTAGGCAAGAACATGTATTATCTCTAGAGAATGGCAAAGGAACAAAGAAAACTAAAATGAAATGAATTCTCAATGGCATGTTATGTTAAATCTGCAATAGTGCAGAATAATTCAAAATAGATATTATAACAAAAAAAAATAGAAATATATTGTGTAATCATACATGACATTGTGTAACAAAAGGGTTAGGCAAGAAAATAGTAATTGAAGGGAGAGAAAATACAAATTTTATAATTACATTTGTGCAAAAAATATTGTTTAAAAGCAATATTATTGAATCTTACATATCAGTATATTAAAGTTCACAAAAGAAAAAAATTGTGACACAACTTAAAATGTGCTACCTGGTTATTGAAACTGCACAAATCAAATTTTAGAAATAACCATAATGAATAAAGAAATATGTATGTACACAACACACATGTGAATATATATATATATATATATATATATATATATATATATAATGCACAACTGCATAAAATTAGCAACTAAAACGTTTGTGATATGTTTCCTTGAAAGTGGTCGCCATTGTTTAAAATAAATTGAACATAGAAATTATGGTTACTTAGTGCCTTCTCAAAAAAAGTATGATTGACTAAGTAGAAAGAACTGGAGAAATATAACATACGAGTAAATATAAAATTAAGTAAAAATGTATTTGAATTTGAGTACATTTTTTCATTGGTTCTATTATGTAACTTTGTGTTAAGTGAAGATGAGACACTGTTCAAGGCCTTTGCATTTAAAGTTTTTGAGGACAAAAGTCTGTACATTAGAAATTTCATTATGATTTTAAGAACTAAAGTGCCTAGGAAGATTGGAGGAGACTTCACATGAGCTGTTTCTCCAGTGTATAGTTTGTTACATTTCCTGTTTTGGATGCAGTAAATGATGTATTCTAATGTGCAAATGTTATGCCTTCTAATATGAAATGTGAAAATTGAGACAGTAATTTTAGTGCTGTTTATGATGTCTATACAAGTATAAAATATTTTTTGGTTATGTTTATGAGAGATCAAAAGAAGTGTGTGAATATGTCAGCTATTGTGGGTAAATAATTAGTAAATCAAAATTAACACTAATCAAGCACTAATATATTGAGTTTTATAATTACTATATGTTGATAAGTTTGTAACTAACATCATTAGTAAAGTAGTTTTTCTCTTGTTTTAATAATAAACTTACATAAGGTCAATATTAAGAATATTCTATAGTATATAAGTATATTTAATATCATTAATTAGATAATAAATGAAGCATTGTCATTTTTACACTAATTTTTTTTTTCTGAATAATTTAAGATCCTTAAACATGTGATAGGCATCCTGTTTCAAATGGAAGGCATTCTTTACTGTGTGATTCCAATTGACTTACATCAAAATTGAGGACTTAAAACACCAAATTTGTGGCTTCTTACCTCTGGTGGGCACAGTGCAGACAGCCCATTGTGAAGCTATGCACTTGGACACAAACAAACAAACTTATAACCAAGCATTAAATAGTATCATCAGATTAAGTAGTCTGATGTTAGATGGAAAGTGATATTTTGCTATCACCTAAGCAGCATGTTGTTGTTATAGATGAATGTGATGAAACTTGCATTGTTTTGAAAATATTCTTAACCAGACTCCATTCTCAGTAAAGTATGTTTAACTTTTTCAGGTTAGTTGACTTAAAATGTATTTTCTTTCAGGAAGCTCTTCACTCTCAGCACAGTCTTTTTTGTAAAAATTGAGTAAACTGAAAATCCTATTGTTATCTTTTCAGGGGGCAACTCGCTCTCAAAGAACTGTTTTTGAGTACATTCATGTATCGCCCCTAAAGGTGAGAAGTTTGGATATTGAAGACATTTAATAAAAAATAATTATTATGTTCAGTTTGAGCCATTACTTAATTCCTAAATACTACCATAAGTATTGTACACATTCCTAGTTTATTTCAAAAGTAACTAAAGTTTTGTTTTGTTTTGTTTTTTAGTGTTATGAACATTGGAAATTTTTCAGTTGTGCAAATTGCTTTGAATTATTTTAAATTACAGAATATTTAGACTACTGTGTGTGATATTGTACAGTGGTATGAAATTCCTAACCTAGAAAAGTAGTGAGTCCTAAAGATTATTATGAATCTAATTCTGATTTGTAATGACTATAAAACTAAAACTAAATTGATAAAAAATTACATGTTTTTCAAGTAATTGATGACATCAGTGAGCTCTGGTTTTGGGTGAAAGACCATGTTGGCACTGCATGTAGTAAATATAGCATGGTTGATAAATATAGTAAGAAAACCAAAGCAGTTTAATAAATCTTGTATCTTAAGATAGTAAAACATATAAATAGCATTTTCAGACCTTGTACACAGTGTATCCCTACCACTTTGTAGGTTCCTTAAAAACCTTATAATTCTACACACTACAGAGATTAAGAACATTATGTTTAATCAAGTTTTGAGCCTTGAAATGTCATTATAGTCCATGTTACCATGTATGGGAATGCTCTATCTGATAACCATGAATGTTAACAGTAGCCCTGCATTGTGGTTTCCATTGTAAAAAGCTCCATTGTAAGGCTTTCACATCCAATGTAAACCCATCCTCCCTGATGTGTTCCGTATTCTATATAATATATGAGGCAACCTCAAACCTTTTTAATGGTTTTGTGGACAGAAATCCATAGGTGCTGTGTTTGATGACTCAACCAACATATTTTCATAATAAGTAGATGAATACCCCTTTTATTCTCCAGCTGCATTGAGATATATGATAGTTTCATGTATTATGAAAGCAACTTTTCTGTACATGTGACTTATATCACTTTTCCTGGTGTAGATTATTTTTGATTATGCTATTTACTGTTGTCTGGGACATATGGATGGCTTTTGCCACTAACCTTTGTATTCATGAATTCTCACCTATTACAAAATGCTGCACTTTGCTTGCCACAGCTGAGGTAGGACTTGTGTCAGGTCTCTTGTTGGATAGTTCTGGTGTCTCAAGTTGATTTTTATTCCTTTGTTTTCTGATGATATTATGTACAAGGGATATATACCCATCTTGGAAATTATAAATCCACATTGTGAACACATCTTTGTAATGTATGAATATTTTGTGTCAGGGAGGGCTGTTATATGACCTTCCAAAAGTGATCAGATTTCAGTGGCATCACACTACCTATGGAATACTAAATATTCTCATAATGTAGTCTGACACATGCTGTTCCGCCATAACTTTAAGTTGGCTGTGGTTATCACATGACTTGCTTAGTTGCATATTCAAAATTGTTTTAATATAACTTACTCAACCCTGTGTGTGTGTGTGTGTGTGCACGCGAGCACATATGCATCACATATATAATTTACAGTATAATAATTGTTTTGGGGATAGATATCACCAATGTCAATATTTTAATTGATTGAAACTAATTCAGAAAAGCTTATATTGACCACCATCTAGAATCTATTTATTTGTTAATTACAGAACCAAATATTCTACTATTTCTAGATACAGTTCAGTTTCAGTCCTCGTGGTGGAATCCATAAAGCTATTCCTGACCCATGGTCACTTCAAGATGATGTTCTTGACTTCTTTCTAAATTCTGTTGGAGCCACTTTAAGTGAAGTAAAAGATGTTGAACTCAGGTAGAATCCTTGTTTGTAATTTAAGAGTAGATTAATACTTATTGTTATTAATTTTTTTTACTATAAATCTTCTG